TCTCCCTTCTTGAAAATCGGTTACACACTCGCTATCCTCCAGGATTCTGTTACTACACCTGTTATTAATGACATGTTAAACAAATTTGCTCAGGGCATACTAAGTTCTTCAAGGTTGTAGGTTGCCTCCCCACTAGTGTTGTAGGGGGACCACATGGATGTAGGCTGCCTACCCACTGGTGCTGTAGGGGGACCACATGGTTGTAGGCCGCCTCTCCACTGGTGTTGTAATGGGACCACATGGTTGTGGGCCGCCTCCCCACTGGTGTTGTAGGGGGACCGCATGGTTGTAGGCCGCCTCCACACTGGTGTTGTAGGGGGACCACATTGTTGTAGGCCGCCTCCCCACTGGTGTTGTAGGGGGGCCACATTGTTGTAGGCCGCCTCCCCACTGGTGTTGTAGGGGGACCACATAATTGTAGGCCGCCTCCCCACTGGTGCTGTAGGGGGGACCGCCATTGCTGTAGGCCGCCTCCCCACTGGTGTTGTGGAGGGGACCACATGGGGTTGTATGCCGCCTCCCACTGGCGTTGTAGGGGACCACATGGTTGCAGGCAGCCTCCCCCACTGGCAAGTTGTAGGGGGACCACATGGTCGCAGGCCGCCTCCCTTTGGTGTTGTAAGGGGACCACATGGTTGTAGGCCACCCCCACTGGTGTTGTAGGGGACCATAGTTGTAGGACGCCCCGCAACTCGTGTTTTAGGGGACCACATGGTTGTAGGCCGCCTCCCTTACTGGCGTTGCAGGGGACCTCTTGGTTGTAGGCCGCCTCCCCACTGGTGCTGTGGTAGGAGACCACATGTTGTAGGACGGGTCCCCTGCCGCTAATGTTGTAGGGGGACCACATGGTTGTAGGCCGCCACCCCACTTGTGCTGTAAGGAACTGAAGCATGGTTGTAGGCCGCCACCCCACTGGTGCTGTAGGGGACCACATGGCTGTGGTGTCACCTCCCACTTGTGCTGTGGGAGGGACCATGGTTGTAGGCCGCCACCCCACTGGTGTTGTAGGGGGATGACATGGTTGTAGGCAGCGTCCCGCTGATGTTGTAGCGGGCCACATGGTTGTAGGCCGCCTCCTCTCTGGTGTTCTAAGGAAACCACATGGTTGTAGGCCGCCTCCACGCTGGTGTTGTAGGGGGACCACATGGTTGTAGGCTGCCTCCCCACTGGTGATGTAAGGGGACCACATGGTTGTAGGCCGCATCCCCACTAATGTTGTAGGGGGACCAAATGGTTGTTGGCCGCCTCCCCACTGGTGTTGTAGTGGGACCACATGGCTGTAGGCCGCCTCCCCACTGCTGTTGTAAGGGGAGCACATGGTTGTAGGCCGCCTCCCCACTGCTGTTGTAGGGGGACCACATTGCTGTAGGCCGCCTGCCCACTGGTGTTGTGGGGGACCAGATTTTTGTAGGCCGCCTCCCACTGGTGGTTGTAGGGGACCACATTTTGTAGACCGCCTCCCCACTGGTGTGTAAGGGGCACATGGTTTAGGACGCCTCCCACTGGCGTTGTAGGGGACCACATGGTTGTAGGCCGCCTCGCCGCTGGTGTTATAAGGGGGACCCATGGTTGTAAGCCGCCTCTCCACTAGTGTTGTAAGGGGACCATATGGTTGTAGGCCGCCTCCCTGGGTTGTAGGGACAACATGTTTGTAGGCTGCCTCCCCACTGGTGTTGTAAGGGGACCACTTGTTTGTGGGCCGCCTACCCACTGGTGTTGTAGGGGACATTGTTGTAGACCGCCTGGGGTTCTAGGGGACCACATGGTTGTAGACCGCCTCCCCACTGGTGTTGTGGGGGACCACATGGTTGTGCTTTGTTGGGGATAACATGGTTGTAGGCCGCCTTCTACTGACGTTGTGGGGGACTCACATGGTTGTAGGGTGCCTCCCACTGGTGTTGTAGGGGACCACATGGTTGTAGGCCGCTTCCCCACTGGTGTTGTAGGGGATCAAATGGTTGTAGGCCGCCTCTCACTGACGTTGTAGGGGGATAGCATGGTTGTAGGGTGCCTCCCCACCCATGTTGTCAGGGGACCACATGGTTGTGGGCCGCCTCCCCACTGGTGTTGTAGGGGGACCACATTGCAGGCCGCCTCCCCACTGGTCTTGTAGGGCACCACGTGGTTGTATGCCACTCCCCACTGGTGTTGTAGGGGACCGCATGGTTGTACGCCGTGTCGCCGCTGGTGTTATAGGGGGACCACATGGTTGTAGGCCGCCTCCCCACTGGTGCTGTAAGGGGACCACATGGTTCTAGGCCGCCTCACCCACTAGTGTTGTGAGGACCACAATATAGGCTGCCTCCCACTAGTGTTGTACTGGGACCACATGGTTGTAGGCCGCCTCCCTCACTGATGTTGTAGGTGGACCACATGGTTGTAGGCCGCCTCCCCACTGGTGTTGTAGGGGTATCACATGGTTGTAGACCGCCTCCCCACTGGTGTTGTAAAGGACCACATGGTTGTAGGCCGCCCCCCTACTAGTGTTGTAGGGTCATCATATAGTTGTAGGACGCCTCTCTGCTGGTGTTGTACGGTTACCACATGGTTGTAGACCGCCTCCCACCTCGTGTTGTAGGGGGATTATATGGTTGTAGGTCGCCTCTCACTGACGTTGTAGGGGACCACATGGTTAGGGCCGCCTCCCCACTGGTGTTTAGGGGACCATGGTTGTAGGACGAGGTCCCCGCTGATGATGTAGGGGACCACATGTTTGAGGACGGGTCCCCGCTGATGTTGCAGGGGGACCACATGGTTGTAGGCCGCCACCCCACTGGTGTTGTAGGGGACCACAGTGTTGTGGGACGGGTCCCCGCTGATGATGTAAGGGACACATGGTTGGAGGACGGGTCCGCTGATGCTGCAGGGGACCACATGGTTGTAGCGCCACCCCACTGGTGTTGTAGGGGGACCACATGGTTGCAGGACGGGTCCCCGCTGATGATGTAAGGGGACCACATGGTTGTAGGCCGCCACCCCACTGGTGTCGTAGGGGGATCACATTGTTGTAGGCCTCCCGCTGGTGTTGGACCACATGGTTATAGGCCACCTCCCAATGGTGCTGTAAGGGATCACAAGGTTGTAGGCCACCTCCCCCACTGGTGTTGTAAGAGGACCACATGGTTGTAGGCCGCCTCCCCACTGGTGTTGTAGGGGACCACATGGTTGTAGGCCGCCTCCACTAGTGTTGTAGGGGACCACATGGTTGTAGGCCACCTCCCCAATGGTGCTGTAGGGATCACAAGGTTGTAGGCCGCCTCCCACTAGTGTTGTAAGGGACCACATGGTTGTAGGCCGCCTCCCCCACTGGTGTTGTAAGGGGACCACATGGTTGTAGGCCGCCCCCACCAGCGTTGTAGGGGACCACATGGTTATAGGCCACCTCCCAACAGCTAGGATTACAAGGTTGTAGGCCGCCTCCCCACTGGTGTTGTAAGGACAACATGGTTGTAGGCCGCCTCCCCACTAGTGTTGTAGGGGGACCACATGGTTATAGGCCACCTCCCCAATGGTGCTGTAGGGGATCAAGGTTGTAGGCCACCTCCCCACTGGTTGTAAGGGACCACATGGTTCTAGGCCGCCTCACCCACTAGTGTTGTAGGAGGACCACAAGGTTATAGGCTGCCTCCCACTAGTGTTGTACTGGGACCACATGGTTGTAGGCCGCCTCACTGATGTTGTAGGTGGACCACATGGTTGTAGGCCGCCTCCCACTGGTGTTGTAGGGGTATCATGGCGTTGTAGACCGCCTCCCCACTGTGTTGTAAGGACCACATGGTTGTAGACCGCCTCCCCAGTCGTGTTGTAGGGGATTATGGTTGTAGGTCGCCTCTCACTGACGTTGTAGGGGGACCACATGGTTGTGGGCCGCCTCCCCACTGGTGTTGTAGGGGGACCACATGGTTGTAGGACGGGTCCCCGCTGATGATGTAAGGGGACCACATGGTTGTAGGACGGGTCCGCTGATGCTGTAGGGGACCACATGGTTGTAGGCCGCCACCCCACTGGTGTTGTAGGGGACCACAGTGCAGGACGGTCCCCGCTGATGATGTAAGGGGACCACATGGTTGTGGACGGGTCCCCGCTGATGTTGCAGGGGACCTGGTTGTAGGCCGCCACCCCACTGGTGTAATCACATGGTGGACGTCCCCGCTGATGATGTAAGGGACCACATAGCCGCCACCCCACTGGTGTCGTAGGGGATCACATTGTTGTAGGCCTCCTCCCGCTGGTGTTGTAGGGGACCACATGGTTGTAGGCCGCCTCCCCACTGGTGTTGTAAGGGGACCACATGGTTGTAGGCCGCCTCCCACTAGTGTTGTAGGGGACCACATGGTTATAGGCCACCTCCCAATGGTGCTGTAGGGATCACAAGGTTGTAGGCCGCCTCCCCACTAGTGTTGTAAGGGGACCACATGGTTGTAGCCGCCTCCCCACTGGTGTTGTAAGGGGACCATGCAGGCCGCTCCCCCACTAGCGCTGTAGGGGACCACATGGTTATAGGCCACCTCCCCAATGGTGCTGTAGGGGATGGTTGTAGGCCGCCTCCCACTGGTGTTGTAAGGGGACCACATGGTTGTAGGCCGCCTCCCCACTAGTGTTGTAGGGGACCATGGTTATAGGCCACCTCCCAAATGGTGCAGTAGGGGATCACAAGGTTGTAGGCCGCCTCCCCACTGGTGTTGTAGGAGGACCACAAGGGTATAGGCTGCCTCCCCACTAGTGCTGTACTGGGACCACATGGGTGTAGGCCGCCTCCTCACTGATGTTGTAGTGACCACATGGTTGTAGGCCGCCTCCCCTGCTGTTGTAGGGGACCACATTGTTGTAGGCCGCCTCCCACTGGTGTTGTAGGGGACCACATTTTGTAGGCCGCTTCCCACTGGTGTTGTAGGGGACCACATTTTGTAGGCCGCCTCCCACTGGTGTTGTAAGGGGAGCACATGGTTGTAGGCCGCCTCCCTACTGGCGCTATAGGGAACCATATGGTTGTAGGCCGCCTAAGCTGGTGTTGGGGCAAATGGTTGTGCCGCCTCCACTGGTGTTGTAAGGGGACCACATGGTTGTAGGCCACCTCCCACTGGTGTTGTAGGTGGGACCACATTTTTGTAGGCTACCTCCTCACTGGTGCTGTGAGAGGGGCCATGGTTGTAGGCCGCCCGCCGCTGGTGTAAGGGGAACACATGGTTGTAGGCCGCCTCGCCGCTGGTGTTGGGGGACCACATGTTGTAGGCCGCCTCCCACTGGAGTTGTAGGGGACAACATGTTTGTAGGCTGCTTCCCACTGGTGTTGTAAGGGGACCACTTGGTAGGGCCGTCTCCCCACTGGTGTTGTAGGGGACCACATTGTTGTAGGCCGCCTCCCCACTGGGTTCTAGGGGGACACATGGTTGTAGGCCGCCCCCACTGGCGTTGTAGGGGACCACATGGTTGTAGGCAGCCTCCCACTGGTGTTGTAGGGGACCACATGGTCGTAGGCCGCCTCCCTTTGGTGTTGTAAGGGGACCACATGGTTGTAGGCCGCCTCCCCACTTGTGTTGTAGGGGACCACATATTTGTGGACGCCTCGCAACTCGTGTTTTAGGGGACCACATGGTTGTAGCCCCCACTGGCGTTGCAGGGGAACCACTTGTTGTTGTGGCCGCCCCCACTGGTGTTGTAGGAATCCACATGGTTGTAGGACGGGTCCCCGCTGATGTTGTAGGGGACCACATGGTTGTAGGCCGCCTCCCCCCTCTTGCTGTATGGGGACCACATGGTTGAAGGCCACCTCCCCTTGTGTTGTAAGGGACCACATGGTAGGCCGCCACCCCACTGGTGTTGTAGGGGGACCACATGGTTGTAGGCCACCTCCCCACTTGTGTTGTAGGGGACCACATGGTTGTAGGCCGCCACCCCACTGGTGTTGTAGGGGATGACATGGTTGTAGGCAGCGTCGCTGATGTTGTAGCAGGCCACATGGTTGTAGGCCGCCTCCCTCTGGTGTTCTAAGGAAACCACATGGTTGTAGGCCGCCTCCCACGCTGGTGTTGTAGGGGACCACATGGTTGTAGGCTGCCTCCCCACTGGTGATGTAAGGGGACCACATGGTTGTAGGCCGCATCCCCACTAATGTTGTAGGGGACCAAATGGTTGTTGGCCGCCTCCCACTGGTGTTGTAGTGGGACCACATGGCTGTAGGCCGCCTCCCCACTGCTGTTGTGGGGACCACATGGTTGTAGGCCGCCTCCCCACTGCTGTTGTAGGGGGGACCACATTGCTGTAGGCCGCCTGCCACTGGTGTTGTGGGGACCACATTTTTGTAGGCCGTCTCCCCACTGGTGTTGTAGGGGGAGCATTTTTGTAGACCGCCTCCCCACTGGTGTTGTAAGGGGAGCACATGGTTGTAGGCCGCCTCCCCACTGGCGCTGTAGGGGGACCACATGGTTGTAGGCCGCCTCGCCGCTGGTGTTATAAGGGGCCCATGGTTGTAAGCCGCCTCTCCACTGGTGTTGTAAGGGGACCACATGGTTGTAGGCCACCTCCCCACTGGTGTTGTAGTGGACCACATTTTGTGGCTACCTCCCCACTGGTGTTGTAGGGGGACCACATTTTTGTAGGCCGCCTCCCCACTGGTGTTGTAGGGGAGCACATTTTTGTAGACCGCCTCCCCACTGGTGTTGTAAGGGAGCACACATGGTTGTAGGCCGCCTCCCACTGGCGCTGTAGGGGACCCATGGTTGTAGGCCGCCTCGCCGCTGGTGTTATAGGGGGACCACATGGTTGTAGGCCGCCTCCCCACTGGAGTTGTATGGGGCAACATGTTTGTAGGCTGCCTCCCATTGGTTTGTAAGGGGACCACTTGGTTGTGGGCCGCCTCCCCACTGGTGCTGTAGGGGACCACATTGTGTGGGCCGCCTCCCATGGGAGTTCTGGGGGCCACATGGTTGTAGGCCGCCTCCCCTCTGGGTGTTGTAGGGGACCACATGGTTGTGAGCCTTCCTCACTGGTGTTGTAGGGGGATCACATGGTTGTAGGCCGCCTCTCACTGACGTTGTGAGGGACTCACATGATTGTAGGTGCCTCCCCACTGGTGTTGTGGGGACCACATGGTTGTAGGCCGCTTCGCCACTGGTGTTGTAGGGCGATCAAATGGTTGTGGGCCGCCTCTCACTGACGTTGTAGGGGGGATCACATGGTTGTAGGGTGCCTCCCCACCCATGTAGTAAGGGGACCACATGGTTGGAGGCCGCCTCCCCACTGGTGTTGTGGGGGGACCACATGGTTGTAGGCCACCTCCCCACTTGTGTTGTAAGGGACCACATGGTTGTAGGCCGCCACCCCACTGGTGTTGTAGGGATGACATTGGTTGTAGGCAGCGTCCCTGGTGTTGTAGGGGACCACATGGTTGTAGGCCGCCTCCCTCTGGTGTTCTAAAACCACATGGTTGTAGGCCGCCTCCACGCTGGTGTTGTAGGGGGACCACATGGTTGTAGTGCCTCCCACTGGTGATGTGGGGACCACATGGTTGTAGGCGCATCCCCACTAATGTTGTAGGGGACCAAATGGTTGTTGGCCGCCTCCCCACTGGTGTTGTAGTGGGACCACATGGCTGTAGGCCTCCCCACTGCTGTTGTAAGGGGACCACATGGTTGTAGGCCGCCTCCCCACTGGCTGTTGTGGGGGACCACATTGCTGTAGGCCGCCTCCCACTGGTGTTGTGGGGGACCACATTTTTTGACGCCTCCCAACTGGTGTTGTAGGGGAGCACATTTTTGTAGACGCCTCCCCACTGGTTTTGTAAGGGGCACATGGTTTAGGCCGCCTCCCCACACTGGCGCTGTGGGGACCACATTGTTGTAGGCCGCCTCCCGCTGGTGTTGTGGGGTACCACATGGTTGTGGGCCGCCTCCCCACTGGTGTTGTAAGGGACCACATGGTTGTAGGCCGCCTCCACTGGTGTTGTAGGGTACCACATGGTTGTAGACCGCCTCCCCACTGGTGTTGTGAGGGACCACATGGTTGTAGGCCGCCTCCCCACTGGTGTTGTAAGGGGACCACATAGTTGTAGGACGCCTCTACTGGTGTTGTAGGGTTACCACATGGTTGTAGACCGCCTCCCCACTGGTGTTGTAGGGGACAACATGGTTGTAGGCCGCTTCCCCACCTGGTGTTGTGGGGATCACATGGTTGTAGGCCGCCTCCCACTGGCGTTGTAGGGAGACTCACATGGTTGTAGGGTGCCTCCCCACTGGTGTTGGGGGGACCACATGGTTGTAGGCCGCTTCCCACTGGTGTTGTAGAGGGATCACATGGTTGTAGGCCGCTCTCACTGACGTTGTAGGGGATCATGGTTGTAGGGTGCCTCCCCACCCATGTTGTAGGGGACCCACATGTTGGGCCGCCTCCCCACTGGTGTTGTAGGGCACCACGTGGTTGTACCGCCTCCCCACTGGTGATGTAGGGGACCACATGGTTGTACGCCGTCTCGCCGCTGGTGTTATATGGGGACCACATGGTTGTGAGGCCGCCTCCCCACTATTGTTGTAGGGGACCCATGGATGTAGGCCGCCTCCCCACTTGTGTTGTAGGGTACCACATGGTTGTAGGCCACCTCCCCAGGGGTGCTGTGGGGATCCACAAGGTGTAGGCCGTCCCCACTGGTGGTGTGGGAGACCACAGGTTATAGGCTGCCTCCCCACTAGTGTGGTATCTGGGACCACGTGGTTGTAGGCCGCCTCCTCACTGATGATGTGGAGTGGACCACATGGTTGTAGGCCGCCTTCCCACTGGTGTTGTAGGGAAGCAATGCGTAACTT